TCCCTCAAAGTTTATACATTTATGTACTTTTTGTTTGTTTTGTTTTGGAAACTTAAAAAGCAAATAGAGAATCTGATTATACGGAAAAAGATTTGGAGAGTCTTCAGAATCTGTTAAGGTCTTCTGCAAGAGACTGTGTCCCGAAAGAGAGAAGTTCTCTGGTGGATTTTCAGTCTAAAACCGGAGTTGAGGTTGTTTACTATGTCTTATTCCTTCTCTTGTTCTCAAATGACCTCAAAGATTTGGTTTTTAAAATGAAAGATGGGTGAGATGTTCAGGTTTGTACGTTCAAGCTGGTTGTGAAGAACGCTGCTTCGTTATTAGATGATAAGGATCCACTCAAATTGGAAGCAGAGAATATACTAAATGATCTTGTTAGGTAAATTATTATGTGACTCTCTATTGAATGATGTGATATGCGTCTTATCTCTGTAATACATTTGGTCGTTGTAATGCAAATGCTGTGATATGCTTCTAAACTCTATGAAGGTGATTATGTTGTTGCTGGTTGAATGGTTAGTTAATTCCGCGCTTTTATATCGCAGGTCATTCGGTTCCCTCATCACGCTGACGAATGGGATTGATATGAATCTTCCTTCTAATAGGTTAGTGTTTCCTCAATAAGCTTTAAGGATCCTATTTCTTGGTGTTTTCTCTGTCACACAAAACTCTCTCCATATATTGGTCTGATTATCTCTCTGTGTATAGGTTATATAAATTCTATCTCTCATGTCAACTTTTTTTTGTTTCAGAATAAAGATTTCAGATGCAGTTATGGAGGTTATCTCTTTTCTTGACAAATTTGAGAAGGGTGTTAAGGACTGCCTTGAGATCTAAGTTTAGTTGTCTGCTCTTTGGCTGCCAGAATTGAAGCAGTGTGTACTTGTTATAGCTGTTAAAGGGTATCAACATTTTGTTACAAGTGCCGAAATGAAAGACTTCTCGTGTTATATGAATATAATGATATGCTAGATGCTTGTGCTTCATTCATCACTCAGAAATCGTTTTGAGTTCCGCCAGTTATTGAAAGGCATGACAAGCCTTGTTTCTTCCTTCAGTTATTAAGGAGATGAAAAATGGAACATCTGTGTTTAGAGTTTAAGACAGGGATTTGTTCATATCAATGGTTTTATACATCATCAAATTACCAATCATCTCCTACACAATTTTCAATGGTGTGAAAAGACTCATGTATCTGTTCTGCAAATGCGTGCAGTGCCACATGCACATCTGGAATGAGCTTAACAAGCTCACATGGTTCACTACGGTAGTATCTGAGGCGGTGAACCAAAAGCCTCGACCAGATACAAGCGGCAGCACGGTGTTCCATCGTCTGGGTGGATCTGTGCAGACCTTGGCAGGCGAAGAAGTTTGTTGAAGAGATTCAGCGGATCGTGAAGCAGACCGAAATTTGCATCTGGATCACCAATCTGTGAAAGGCTGACTTGAGAGAACCCCAAAGATGGTAAGAGCTGATCAGGCCAGTCACTGTAAAAGTGGAACACAGAGTTCGGAAGCGTAGCAGACGGTTTGTTCATAAAATCCGCCAAGAGAACTGTGCTAGTGAGAGCACACTTGTCAGCTATGAGATTCAGTACTTGCATTGCCTCTGTGTGAGACAGGTAGTAGAGAATGCCTTCAAGAACCCATACAGTGTTAATCTCTGGTAAAAAACCCGATTTCTTAAGCTTGTCGAACCAATCACTGTCTCTGATATCAATTGCTACTCTGACTAGTGATTTTGCCTTCATCCTAAGCTCGTCACTTGATTTTACTGCAGCTTGAACTAGGCTTGTTTTGGCTTCCAAGACATCCGCAAAATCAACTTCGAATACGTCACTTTTGTTCAAGCAGTTTAGTCTGTATGATCTCGCATCCATTCCTGAAAAGTCAATCACACTCTGGATTCTTTCAATTCTTGTTTTCACATATATCAATCATGTAATCTCGCACAAAGCATATCAAAATTTGGAGGGGAAAGCAAACCTGCACCGAGTAGAACAACCTGCGTTGTTGCATCGGTTTGGAAAGAATCCAGAGCAGCTTGAATCCTTGTGTCGAACCAGAGTGTTCGGACGGCTAGGATCACCCCGGAGACTTCTCTTGCATTGTTGAGAAGGTCATTCTTGATCTTTGTGTGTAGGTTTCTCAAATGTGTCTCTCCGGCAAACAAGTGAGCAAGAGGATCATGAATGACATGTTTCCACAGAGCTCTCCCTGCAGCTGTTTGGCAAGCAGATTTCTGAAGGTAATCCCACTCGCTTTGAATGCTCATGTGAAGTTTCTTGACGCCTTCGCTATGTAAAACCTCGGGTATAATGAGTTCTTCTTCGATATCAGGCCATGTAGTAGTAGTAGTTGCTGATGATTCTTCTTGTGGGTTCTTCTCATCTCTTTCAGACATGGTTTCTTCTCTTGTTCTCCTGAAAAACGAATAATGTTTTGTCTGATATATAAAGAAAGGAATGTGAGAATGTAGAGATAAGAAAAGAGAACCACACATAAAAAACAAAGGTGTACGTAGAAGCAAAAGCATACGTTCTTGTATGCATAGCCACTGGCTTTGCTTTTCTGTTAAAAGAGCAAACGAGTGGCTCCACACTAAAGTTGCTCTACTTCTTTCCCTCTTCTCATATTTATTAGTGAATGATTTTGACCAACTAAAATGTAGAGCTCGAGTGTCCACTAGTTTTTTTTTTCTTTATCAATCTGAATTGAAACAAAAACTCTATGCATTTATGGACAGCTAGATCTGATAGTAACATTGTGTTTTTTTTTGGGTCCAAGTGTGAATTTAAGGCCATGGTAAGAAATTGTGAGACGTTTTGATCTTGTTTGCTATTGACACTCGCATTTCTCAAGAACATGATGTTCAATTTGTTTAAGTTCTTAAAAAAGAAAAACTAGATTGTGACTCTGATGAGAAGAGATTGATTCATGAGAAATGAAGTCTAATAACCAAACAAAATTATTATAATTTAACAACTAAGCAATTCACTCTTGATTTTGCAGCTATTATTCCAAGTAAGCCACTTTTTGTTAGATTGTTAATTCTATTTTTTTTTTTTTTGGCCATTCACCTTTGGTTCATTATGTTGTAATTTTCTGTCAAAAATACTAATCTAAATCGTTTCTCTCAAGCTAATTACAAGAATGGTAAAAGATTAATTGACCCTCACTTCTCTCTCTCTATGTATGTTCTTAAATACTAACTCACGTGTGACCAATCCGACGGCTTCACCGAGGGACTCTCCTTCACTAGTTGGTGGACGCTTGGGGTCCTTTAAACTTGGAACCCCCTATTCCATTCAGAGTCTTTACCAAGCTTGAGCTTATTTCATCATCTTCTCTACTACTTTTGATCAAGATTTTCTCTGACTACACCGGAATATCTATGACTTCACCGGAATATATGTACATTATTTGTACGCCTTGAGAGAGAAACCAAAGTGGGACCTAAGAAAATCCAGAGTTGAATTGCGATGAGGTCATTTGAGTGGAAGGGAAAGAGATGATATATAATAAGCTTTTGGACATAAGTCATTTCATGTACGAATGAATATGACAAAGCGACATAATGTTACTTCTCACTCAATTCCCCATGAAGAATCTTATCGAATGAGTGCTTCCACGATATATATTTTGTAACTTTCTATTTGTCCTTTGTAACAAAATGAATCTTTTTAATTAACAAAATGAATATATATTTTCTAGCAGCTACATCACTAATTAATTGTTTAAAACACACCCCAACGAATATCTAAAATGATAGTTAGATAAGTTTTCTAGACAAATCGATGTGGGTTTTTTATATGTGATTATACTTGGAAACTTTGTGTGAAAATATTCACACGTAGAAAGTGCTTGATTTCCCCCGAATTAGTCTTGTACAAGCACCATAAAGCACACAAAACCACAACGTTAGTTAATTACC